TTGGCCATAGCTGTCAGGCAGCAGTCAGAAGGCAGGGGTGAGTGAAATTCAAGTATCTTTTCACATATCACCGTGCAACTGTCCAACCAAGTGGAAGCTAAACTACAGACATCAGACCACTTTTATCAACGGTCTGCTTTCTCTGGCACAAGGGGTACTTCTGTCCCACAGAGGCGAGTCCCTCTGCTTCACAGGTAGACGTGTTAGCTACCAGCACCCCTCTGCACTGCCTGCAGAAAACCATGGTGTAAGCCAGGAGTTCTAGTAGCTGGCTTGATCTGGGAGCCAGATGTCCTGAGCTTTTGGCATCAACTCTTTTGATGACTAGCTAGATACTCATTGATCTACACATTAAAGTTACTGTCTAACGCTAGAGTAATCGAACATAGCCCACATGCCCCGAAAGAAGGCAATAAGCCGTAGCTCCAAGATTTTTTGCTCCAAGATGTTGGATGGGCATTGGATCTAATAGGAAAGGGATCCCGTGGACATGCACCTGTGGGTTATAAAGGACAGACATCAGCTTCTCCAGTGGCAAAGACAGAGGAGTACGTTAGGGTAGGAATAGCAGGATGGGAGGAAGTCCTGACAGTGAGGAGACCTTATGACTCGTAGAATAATGAACAGAGAAGAGAGATGAAGTTAGAAAAATAGTCCGGAGTCTAGATTGTCAGCACCCTTTGAATTTGATGTCATGAAATTTAAACTTTATAGGTGCGTAGACAGAAGACAGGACTAAACTTTCTCTGAATCTGACTGCAGCGTTGAATCCCTCTAAGAGCACAGAAATGTGTTCTGGAGGGTGATGGTGCCACATGGTTGGTACTAGATTCTGTGCGAATGGCAATATTCTTAATGAGACTACTCAACGTGGTGGCCACACAACATGTGGCCACTGAACACTCTGAATTTGTGGTATTACTTCATTGTAGCTCGTGTACATGCCAGTTTAAATGTGGGTAGTGGCTACTGTTTGGGAGTCTCTTAAGAGGCAGTGGTTATAACTAGATGGGAGAAAAAGATGGTGAAGGCTGTCTCGTAGATGAATGGGATCATTTGAGCTTCAGTGTGGGAAATGTCCAGACTGTTTCATATGTCCGTATGGTGCTAGGAGCTGTGAGGGATTTTGTTTAAACCCTTTAAGGAGTCACTGAAGCAATACCCACACATAAATCCGAGAGAAGTGAAGCGGCTAGTGTGGGGCCAAGGGCTTCAGAAGTGGACTCCAGCACAGTGGTCACCCTGTGCTGCCCTGGCTTCGGATCCCCTCCGATCCCCAGGCTTAGAATGCGTACGAACCATACACAGAGCAGGAGTGCTGCCTGCACTGGTTACTTCTAGGGAAGATGCAGGATTAGGGAAGATGAATCAGAAAACAATTCCTAGATAGTCTGAAAAAAAAAAAAGAAAAAATAGGCTTTGAGGGCATTGCACAGTCCTGAGCCCTTTGTTACCTTTTTAATCCCATGGTAGGCAGCTGCCCTTTACCTGTGGGGTTATCCAGGGACAGCTCAGTATAATACCATGTATTTTCCCAGACCAATGGATGGCTACCAACTCAGCATCAAGCAGAATATACTGGGTGACAGAAGGTCACTGAAAACTGAGACACCAGTGCGTGCAACTATAAGGTGTGTTCTTATTGCAGAATCATTTAGTTGGTTAGAACAAAATAGTTGTACCCTTCCCTGAAATTTGAGGTGCATTTGAATATTCTCTGATTTTTCCGTTAATAAATTTCTTTGTAACCAACAGTGGCACGTGTGATTATTCCATTATCTATTCCATCCGTCTGAATATCAAGTTGATAGCATCAAAAGTCCAATGAGGTGGAAGTGTGAAGTCAGCACAGAGTAAACTGAATCAAGCCCTGAGCCGGGTGGCTGAATAGAGACAGATTGGAAAGATTTCAGTAGGAGAATTATCTAATAACTAAGACCTATAAAGGAATGCTTTCATTTTCTTCTGGTCTTTATTTCCTACCATAATTCTTAAATTCTGATTCAAATGTGAATATGCTTCATGCTATTCTCCTCTTTTAAAAAGAGTGATGTTTATCTTCTTAGACCATGATAGATGTTTATTTCATGAAATACAGACCAGAAGAAACTAGAGTGGGCCCTGACTCTCCCACTCGGAGACGAACACCCTGACTGTTTGGGCTTATCTGTTTTCAGTTAGTTTTTTTCCTTCATGTGAGATTACACAACACTGGGACGGTTTTGTTATCTTGCTTTTTGTCCCCATTAATCTCTCCTGAACATTTTGAAATATATTTCCAAAACATCATTCTATTGACTACAGAGGACTTCTCTCTAGATACCACCCACATTTATTTAACTGAGTCTCCGTGGTGGGTCATTTGTATTACATACCCAGCCATTTCAAATAGAGATGAAAATCCAATATTTGACCTCTTGGTGTGCATGCATTAGTATTTCCTTACATATGAAATTTCCCTGTGAAAGGGTAAGAACTTTTCTTTGGACTATCCAGAAATATTGGCAGGTATTTCTCTAGAGGTATTTTTTTTTTTAATGTAGTTTGAAAGACTGTGGTTTTAGAGATAGGGAAAATAAAAACACTGAGCCATAGTCTTGGTTGTGAGATTCTGCATCTGTTATTAACCATTTGATCTTGGAGAAGGTTGTTAATATTTCCAAGCTCTAAGTTCCTTGTCAGCAAATGGGGCAGTAATGATAGCTTTGCATCCCATTGCTGTGCGATGTTCAGGAGTAGGAGTTGCATTTCATTACCACAGTGGAATACGTAAGACCAACAACTTCAGGAAGGAAGTTTATTGCAGCTCATCATTTTGGAGGCTCGCAGTCCAAGATCAGGCAACTGTAATTGGATGGAGATGTCACCTTAACGTAAGACTTTGGTGGCCAGACTTTTACCACTTGGGCCTTCCAGTTCCATTCAGCATTCAACCTGATATTCAGATCATGACAAAAGAAGATAGTCTACACAAAAATGTGTACGTATCATGTTCCCTATAAGAGCTCAAACTTGTATGCATTTGCCGGTTGAACATGGGAATATTTACTTCTTTCTTCTGTCAAAAACCATGCGACTTATTTTGTATAAAAACCATCCTCTTGATGAGTGAAAATAACATCTCAGACTTTTTCGACTTCTGTGACAAAACACATATTCTCAGCCTGTAAAAGAAATCAAGTTCAGGATTGGCTTCGACAGTCATTCCTCCCTCTGATGTTGCTTATGAATGCCACATCGGCTAAGAATCCCAACCCCCTCATTTCAAAGCGCAGCCATGTTTGCGATCGTGTTTGTGAAGACAGTGCGTCCTTTGGTGAAGTAGAACATATGTATGCAGTGTGTGAACAAAACATTTTCTCTCCATCGCCTCAATGAATTGGATTTAGCTGTGTATGGTTTGTTTTATAAATAGCTTCATATGACAAAAAGTAGAAAAGAAGAAGGAAGACAGTCATGAGCAATCCTTCCAGCCCAAATTACATTTTATTTGTTTATTGCAATTGGACAGGATTACAGTGGAGGTTCTTTCAGATTGGAGGACACATTTTCTCTTTGCGTGACCGGAGGTTTTTCATGTGACTATGGTCATTTTACCAGGCTTGTTAGATGCCATTCTGTCCATATCAAGTCATGCAAACTAAAAATATGAGAAAAAGACCACACCCCAATAGGTCAGCATAGAGGATGGGAGACAGATCTACTGGGGAAGTAAAGATTAGAACCTGGGACAGCCAAAAGTGGCACTGTAAAGCCTTGCATGAATTTGCTGGATGTGGGTATTCTGAAATGAAAATTGAGACATCAGAAGAAATTATATTGGTAAGGTTTTATATATGAACGTTTAGAGGACTTGTATTTAAAGATTTATTTATTTTTACTGCAAAGTCAAATATATAGAGAGAGGAGGAGAGACAAAGAAGAAAATCTTCTGTCGGTTGATTCATTTTCCAAGAGACTGCAACGGCCAGAGCTGAGCCAATCTGAAGCCAGGAGCCAGGAGCTCTTCTGGGTCTCCCATGTGGGTGTAGGATCTCAAGGCTTTAGGCTGTCCTCGACTGCTTTCCTAGGCCACAAGCAGGGAGCTGGATGAGAAGCAGGGTCGCCGGGATTAGAGCTGACACCCGTATGGGATCCCATTGCATTCAAGGCGAGAACTTTAGTACTAGGCTATTGCACCAGGTCCAATTTAGCAGACTGTGTAAGGACACGCTTTTAGTGGCCTTCGCCAGTGAGTCCAGAGAGAGTACTCAATGTAATCTTAGCCTGAGTGTTTGGTTCTTGAATACATTTGCAGGTAAACATGACTTCCTAGAATTTCTGCAATAACAGTACAAGAAAATAATTAAGAAATGCAACTTTAATTATTATAGAGAGGAAATAAGTCAGTTTTTATGGACTGTATATTGTGCCTGCAATAACACTTACGAAAGAGTTTTTTGGTTGGGCCTGCCCTTTGACACAGAGAATTAAACCACCACTTATGAAGTCTGGCATCCTTGTTAGAATACCAAATTGGTTCAGATCTTGGCTGCTCCGCTTCCCATCCAGCTTCCTGCTCATGTGCCCAGGAGACAGCACATGATGGCATAAATGCTTGGGCTTCTGCCACACATATGAGGCACTCAGAGAGTCCTTTGCTCCTGTTGTGCCCAGCCCAGCCCTGGCTGTTGCAGCCATTAGGGCAATGAGCCAGTGGATAGAAGATAAATATCTCTCTCTTTGTCTTTCTCCATTTTAATTAATTAAAAGTAGTCTCTTGGTCAACGTAATGAAAGATCTATTTAGACACCAGATCTGTTCCCCTTTAGTCTCTGCTTGTTTCTGTTGCCCATATGTGCATGTTTGAATGAAGGGCTGAGATAAATCTGTGAGTACCTTCCAGATTCTTTGTCTCCCACATGGGTGCAGGGACCCTAGGACTTGGGCCATCCTCTGCTACTTTCAGGGTGTTTGAGTCAATATTTTTAAAGTTCTTTTCTCTCTTTTGGGTCTGCTAGGTCCTGTGTCACAGACATGTGTGAATGTCCAGTCCACAAGAACTGTTACTGTGAGTCTTTCCTGGCGTATACCCGGGCCTGCCAGAGAGAGGGCATCAAAGTCCACTGGGAGCCTCAGCAGAACTGTGCAGGTAAGAATGTCCTGAGCCATCCAGCCCTCTGCCGCTCACCCCAGTGTCCTTGATGGCAAGGCATCAATCAGGCTTGTCGATGCTGACAGGATTAGCCATTCCCAGCTGACCAAAGGGCATTGCAGCTTGATGAAAACACAAGGGCTTCCTATTGGACAGGGTAGACACGTGTAAAGAAGATCTTTGCAACAAACATATTGTAACAATGGAAGCATTTCCACTGTTGTAAAATCCTTTTAGCCTCAAGCTCCCAGCTAGATGTGCTCCATACATGGGTAGTCATGATTGTGGCTCAAGTAATGTGTGGCACAAAGGAAATCTGCGGTAATTGTAGCCATTTACGACTATCAAGATAAACATGGTTGGACTCGCTTTCCTTGTAGAAATGATTGTATAAATCCTAGCAGAATGTGTTTTTTTCCCCTCAAGAGAGAAATTTTTATAACTCTTTGTCCTCGTGTAAGTTAGTTTATTTAATATCCTTAAAATGGTTTCTTTGTTCATCCAAACATATTTATTACGACGTGGACTTGTGCTAGGCACAATGGGTTCTTTCCTAACTATAAGCGCTGAGGCCATTGCAGTTGAGGCATTGGCCATCTAAAGGGAGAATGAGACTAAGGCAGAAACTTCACGATAAGCAACTTGAAAATTATGAGAAGGGAGCAAACAGAGCAGAGTGATGACAGACCCACAGAGAAGGGTAAGAGGCAATTTAGGAAGGGTGTAGAGGGGAGTCCGTACCCAGGAGATGGAGAAGGAGAGGCAATGCCAGGAGATGGCATTGCGGCTCAGCTGAGAAAGGTCACGAGTCTGCACAAGCATTGTTGTGCAGAAGAAACGCGTTTAGTAGCCGTAAGGCAGAAAGAAAATAGCAGACATTCACAACGGATGGACACCTGCGTGGCTTAAGCCTAGTGGGCAAGGAAAATGTGGGTCAGGAGAAGGAAGCTGGATCAGGCAGGGCTTTGTAGAGAGGAAGCTAGCTTCTGTTCCAAGAGAAATGCAAGCTACGATTGGGGTTTTAGGCAAGCTCCTGCTCTGCATCATAGAGAGGATGGATTAGAAGGGGACGAGATGGAAGGCAGTGCTCCTGCCACGGTCCTGGTGGAACCCAGTGGTGGCTCACACTAAGAGGGTGGACATTCCTGTGGAGAGAAGGGGGCAGGTTATAGGTATATTTTTGGATTTCACGAAGAGTTGCAAGCATCTGTGATGCAGATGAGGAGCGTCTCAAAGAACCTCCAGTTGATAGGAGATGCCGAGGAAATAGTCGTTGCTGCTGCTGACGTGTGAGGGTGAGATGCCTGCACGTTTATCACATTGTTCAGGTTTGCCGAGAGTTGCCTAAAGTGAGGAAATTGGGGTTTTCAATATGCCACTCAAATCCTAACAGGCTCGTATGAGACCTAGAAAAAAAGGTGGTCCGTATAATCGCTGGCTCCAGATGCCTACCTTGGTGGAGGACAGATATGGTCGTCTAGATAGAAGAGTGAAGAAGAATTGTCATCAAGCTGTGTTCATAGTGCACACACATTGTGCTCTCTTATACCGGTAAATCAACTGGGCTGGACCTAGGTATCACTCTGAGAACTTAAAAAATAAACCCGGAAACTTACACTTGATTCCCACACCTACATATCACTTAATATGGTATTGTACAGCTTTCAGTTCTTCCTGGGTGATTCCAGCCTGCAGCCAGACTTAAACCTTTGAGTTAGTCCATGTGTTTACGTGGGTAGATTTGAGGGAGCAGGAGGCTGGCTCCTGGGGCTTGTTAAGGCTTCCTGAGTGCCTGCCAAGCGCCGTCACCTGCCCGTGTCCTTGGAAAGCACGCAGGTCCTCTGAGCTCCCTCTAACTTCCCCGTTAACTCTCTCTTGTGCAAACTCGAGGCTAATATTGACAGCAGAATCACTCTCCACAGCAAGAATACCTATCAGTTCTGCCTTCCTAAAGGAGTATTGATTCAGTCAAAAATCACATTAACATGCGGCTGCAGATGTTGAGAGTTGAGGCACATGGCTGGCCACTATCTTCAGTCATCCACCGTGGGGAGGAGGCAGTGAGGCTTTTGAGAGGATGAATCCTACCACCGATCCCAAAGGTTCCTACCTCCCTTTCTTTGAGTTCTCCTTCCTATGAATATCCCAGAAAAAAATGAATAAAATAAATATAGTCCAGCACTTGTCCATCCCTACTGGGGAAATGGAGGGCTCTGTAGAATTATATTCATTTTATTGGCTGTGGTGCCATTGTAGTGAAGATTGTATTATATATCAGCTATGCCAACCTTCTTCTCCTGGCCCACAGCTATACTTGGCACCATCTCACTGCACACATTGTGTTTGAAGACTATACATTTCGCTTCAGCATCTTCATTTCAGGGACTCAATCTCTGGAGCTAAAATTACTTTTCTAATGGAACTGGAATAATGCTTCTGAAAGGTACCATTTACCTCTCAAAATTAGTGGGGCCATCTGGGTGATGTATAGCTCCTCACCAGGGTGCAGTTGGAGAGGAATGTTTTACCCACACATGCATATACACACACACGTGTGCGCGCGCACACACACACACACACACACACACACACACACACATACACTTTATGCACTTGCAAGTCTGACAGTTGCTATATGGAGAAACACATTTACAGAAATAAGCAGCATCTCTTGGGAAATTCATTTCAGATTCCTCTAGAATATTGTGGACTGTAAGAACACTCATTTCTTCTTGTTTTTAGTTCCAAGGTCCTTTGACTCTCGACAGCACTTAAGGCCACTTAAGCAAGACACAGAAGAGAAATTTTCCAGAGTACAAGGCCTGGAAGTTGAACAAATAAGAAGCCAGCCAGGCAAGGAAGTCTGAATGAAAAATGACATTTTAAAGGCTACCCTGGGCTTTAACACTGTCATGACTATTGACACGGTGCATGCCCACTGACTGTCAGGAAGGGCTAATGGAACTCTAATTTAGCATGGGAATTACTAAATAAAATATAGTATGCTAAGGGCTATAGTGAAGGTACATAAAAATTTAATAATAGCCATTTATACTGCTATTTACTATTTGCTAAGTATCTCCTTTCCCGCAAGGCCTATACAAGCATTTTCTATTTTATTTTATCTTATTTAATGCCTATAGTAATCTATATGGCAACATTCTATTACCTACGTCTTACCTGTAAGGACATTATAGCTTGGAACAGTGAAGTCATTTGCTGAAGGTCACAGAGCTAGACAGCAGGTGTACTGAGAGCGGAACCCAGGTCAGTTTTCATTATAACCTCGGTTCCTTATCGTTAGGGGAACACGTAAAAGCACGAGCGTACTTGCTTACCTACATACGTAAGTATCAACCAGCTCATCCAAGTATCTGTGTTGACCTTCGTTAGCCATAGTGACTCCCTAATTTCTGTTCATCCATCCCATACCTCCGGTGGCCGTTATTTGACCCCTTCTGGCTCTCAATTTGTTTTGATCTCATTTCCTGTGTCACACTCTGCCATCCTTAGCAGAATTTTTGCCACTTGCCTGTAAGCGACACTAATTGTCACTGCACATTCAGTAATACATTTTATAAAGGTAAAAAAAAAAAAGTGCTGGCAAAGCGGATGTGCATGTTTTTTCTGCAGCTAAACGGATTTCTGGGCAGATTTCATCCTCCTTGTTCGGCTTCACAAACCTCCGGTGATTCTGGCTCCTTTCCTGCAGCAGGTCTGCTGTAATGAAACATACTGTGCTAGTCTTTGGCTGACCAAGTGCTTCCTGCAGAAGTTTAGGAGATAAGGTCAAATACAATGATCTTCAACCCCACAGTGGGGTGGAGGTGGTTGGGTTACAGGTACTGTTGACTTCCAGCCATCCCAGGTACATGGTTTCTCAGCATATTCCTAAAGTAATCACATAAACCTCTATGTATTATCTGTATTTCAATGCCCCTTTGAGAAGAAATGCATGCTAACACCAATCACTTCAATAATTTCCTGATTTAAAAAAAATCTTAATTTTCATTGATTCAAAAGGCATAGAAACAACAACAGAGAGAGAGATCTTCCGTTCACTGGTTCACTTCCACAAATGCCAGGCTTGGGCCAAACAGATGCCAGGAGTCCAGGACGTAGTCTTCCATCATTTGAGGCTGCAATGGGAAGTGGAGCTGGTACCAGGCTCCAAGCCCTCTGATAGGGGATATTGGCATCTCTTGGGTGGGTTAAGCTCTGTGCCAAATGCCTGCCGCCCAGTTTTTATTAAAATATTGAGATAAATGAATACTTTGAAAATACACATTGAATCACACTTGGGTTTTTAAATTATCTTTCCTTTTATAAGTTTGAGGTTCACAGAGAGAAAAAGAGGGTTCAAATGTATTAATTCACCTGGATTTTGTATAAAATCAAAGGAAATTTTATCAGAGATGGGCAGCTAAACTCCAGTTAGGATACCCATGTGACATACTGAAGTGCAGTGGTTTGAATCCTGCTTGCACTCAGAATTCACACACACTGGAAGGCAACAGGTAATGGATTCAGTGAGAACCTCCCTTCCATGTGTATAGGAGCCCTGAAATGGGTCGGCATCTCTGGTCTCAGCTGATCTCAGCCATAACTATAGTAAGCATTTGGAAAGTGAGTTCATGGATAGGAGCTCTCTCTCTCTCTCTCTCTCTCTCTCTCTCTCTCTTTTCTGTCTGCTGTTGCTCCATCTCTCTGCCACTGAAATAAATAAATTAATTAATGGGTTATAAAACACCTTGTGATGTCATGTCACACCTTAAAATCTTCCAAAACTTTCCTTTGCCAAGGCTTGTGGAGTCATTTATAAGCTCTACCTGCTTCTGTATCTTATTCTCTAGCTATTCCCCTCCTCAAATTCCATGCTGCTATCCACTTCCCAAGTCAAGACTCCTACATTCCCTGGTGAAACTGCAGTCCTGTTACTCTGCCTGAAAAGGCCTTCCTGCTGTGTCTGACCGATTTCCACTCACCTTCTAAGACTT